GATTTCTCAGCTATTCATCGAAAGAGTTTCTTTTCATACAGCTTTGTAGAGAATTGAATGGCGCGTCTTTTAAATAAAGGTTGAAGCCTGGACAATGAAAATTGAGGGAGATATTCACGAAATACTGACACCGCCATTCTTTATGGGCCACCCGTTAGATCAAAATTTCTTTTTTCCAAGGTCGCATATTAATGAATATTAACGTTCGTATATTTTCTCACATAACTTACGAATTTTTTTTTTTGATCTTCATCATCTGCATTCATCTAACTGGCATGCAGAAACTCGTCCTCTCTCATTGTGAACTTCAATATTAGGATCTTATAGAAATTAGGATTCTCACGAACTGTGACAGGCGTTTTTGATACATGATTAAAGACCGTACATCAATAACGTCTTATTATAATATATGAACTACTTCTTTATTGCATGCCTGGGAAAGGACGGTGAAGAAATACGTTTCTCAATAATTAGAATAAAGAAATTTCCCTGCGATTAACATTGGTACCTACATTGTGTTTTACATTATTATCCTATAAGGATTGCGGTAACAAATTTATCTACTTTTGAGATATATTTTTAAAGATAACTATGCATATTGCATTGAATTCTTTAGTTATTACATTAGTTCAATGGTTTTAATTGTAAATGTACATAGTCTATCTTCTATATAGCTAAATCAAAATTCTCAAAACATCATCATATGATGAATTTATTGAATAATCTATAAAACTAATTTTCCTAACTTACGATAAATAAAAAATGATATTTCATCATAGTCATAAAATGGTTTTACTAATTATGATATAGGACACTGTGACATGTACAGGTTCACTGTTGATAAAACGAATGGCAAATATGATTGCTTTTGACATTGATATTCGTAAATGACGCTGTAGAAATGTCTTTCTTCTCTTGATCCTGATTTTGATTCAATATTGTGACGATCAATTCACGTCTTTAAGTCAGCAATCGAATCATGTTAAATTTTTAGATTGATATTAAAATCCTCCAAGCTTTTAGGATTCGAAGAATCAATGACATGATGACAATACACACTAGAAATTCAATTCAATACTTATTATTATAATCTCTATTTATCGAGAAAATAATTGATTGAAAATATGTAGATATGGATGGAATCAATCACATTGATATCTAGAAATGAATTACAATTTCAGAGAATTATGAAGGTTTATTTGGGATAACAGAAGATTTGTCGTAGACGTTCAGCAATTGTCGAAAGAGTATCTGTTCACTTAAAATGCAGCTCTTACATTTACCCGAAATTTTTGCGGGTATATTTATCGTGTCAATTAGTATATAGGCTGAATTTGAAGCAAAAAAGTGCTTCCGAAAATCATTATGGTGAAATTCAATTGTTTTAGATCTCGTTCAAGTTCCAATACAACTTCTTCGACATCTGATCAAAAATCATCATCAGAAGATGTTGAAAATGAAGACAAACGATCTAGTTCAAGAAGGTATGATAAAAAAAAACTAATCTTTGATTCATTTAATTATTTATTTTTTAATAATAAAGGTCTCTAGACAATGATTCAGATCGAAAACATTCAAAAAGAAAGACTAGAGAATGAATAATAAAAATTAAAATATTCCTGTTTATTTGTTATTTCACTTTGTAATTGTATGTGTGTTTTCTGTTCTTTCTTTTTGTTTTTTTATGTTACAATTTGAACATTCATCGTATGACTTGGATCACTGATTTTGTTTTTCTTTTGTTTATGTCCTTTGTTTCTTTTTTGATGACTCCTGTCATTATTGCTATTGTACGTGATATCAACACATAGAAATATTACTGTAGTCATGTACGATTATTTGTATTGTTGTTTAAAATAAATGAACTGTGAACATGCAAACGTATATTAATGAAAATCATTTTTGAAATTGAGATATTGAAAGATAATGGCTGAATATTTGTAACAATCAATTCATATTTACTTATTTTATTTCGACAAACAACTTCAAGAATGAACATATATTCGTTGCTTAGAATCATTTGATTCTATAAGAAAAATAAAATGATATTCAGCATAAATTTCTTATGATAACATTTGACTGTTCGATCTATTCCAAATGAAAGTAATAATGATAAAATTAAAAGAAATCATAAGTTAGAATTGTCCATAAATCATTTTGTTCGACCGAAAATAGATCAGGAGATTTATAAAACATCGATTTATAGAAATTATGTTTATATAAATATCATCATTATAAAAGCAGGCCCATAAATTCGGTCTGGGGTCTCAACATTACCTCCTTAATCTCCATGAAAAATCTTATTCCTATAAATAGTTCGTACGCTCTACAGTGCTTAGCAGTATGAATTTGGATCACACGAAAGTTACAACGTTCTGTTTAGTGAATTGTATTTCGGAAGGTTGCATTGTATGTCCGTGGAATTGGGGAAAAAACTGTAAACATTTCACTAAAACGAGTCAACTTTTTTTCGAACTCACTCATTGTTGTCAGTGTTTCTAGCGATGGAGCTTGTTTAAATGTTGGAAATTTGACTAGAAAAGGGTGTCAAAACACGTTTTTTTATTCGTAGTTTGTCTGATTCGATAGTCAATTCTTTAACGTCGATTTGATGCGTAATTTTGCTTAACATATGTATGAACTAGAATCTTAATCATTTGATTTTTTATGCTTCTGATACTCATTATTCTTCTTTAGAAAAAAATTCAATACAAAACTGATGAATATGACCGTTTATCAGATGAGATATAATATCTTATGTCGATGAAACGATTCCAAAAACTTGAAGATTATACACCTAAAACACATATTTTTCGTTAATCTGTTATCAAATTACTTTTACGACTAACGAGAAAACCTCTCGAGGTGTCAAATCGTTTTTCAATCATGACAATGTTCGTTTGATGAGTATTAATGAGTAATAGAAACGTCTAGAATGATGTAGTTTTGCGAGACTTCATTCTCAAGACATCGAAATTTTATTGATTTTTTGAACAAAGAACATAGGTAGTGTGAAAATTCGACTTTCGAGTTTCGACTTCAAACATTGCACAAACAAAGCTCTTCATGAAATTAGTTGATTGTGCAACTAGTATTTCTTTTCTGGAGATGTAAATATATGAACACAATTTGCTTTTACACATAAGAGAATTTTGAGTATCTCAGGATAGAAGATACTAGAAAAGTTACAATTTGCCCAAAAAAACCAATCTCATTGAGAACTTTGTTTTTGCAAAATTTAAAGTCGAAAATCGATTTTTCACGTGACCTGAAAGGTGTCATAGCTTTTTGTTGAAAAATCAAGTAAAATTTCCATATCTCAAGGATGAAGGTTCAGTAAACAGAACCATTCTAGACTTTTCTATTATTCTCTAACATCCATATAACGAACATCGTCTTGGTGGGAAATCATTGTAGCATCTACAGAGATTCTTTCGTAAGTATCACGCCACATATAATTAGTTCATTAGTCTTGATAATAATTTGTGGGACATGTATCATTTTTGTTTACACAATTAATACATGCTTCTTATTGTTTTGCTGAATTTATTCTTTATTTGTCAGTATAAGAGCTCAAAAACAAAATCAAATATAATCTATATTCAAAATGCAATTACAGTTAGAAGAAAAAACTAGCACCATCGAAATCATATACATTTATGAATATTGACTATATCACAGTACAAGATGCTTAACTTATGAATTTTGATATACCATTTACTAATGTAAATGAGTACGTAAGAGACGCACATTTCAGTTATAGAAGAGTTTAAGCAGAATGTGTTTTTGAATTAACAGATATTATCGCTTTTGACCAATTATTAGCTGGTGAATATTCCATGTAAATTGAGCTTTAACATCTAAATTTAGACAAATAAATATATAGTAAAGTAGTTCCTGATCATAGACATGTTGATGTAAACCACGATTCTGAAAATTTTTTTCTGATCGTTCTCTAAAAGTGTTAATGTTGCCTGCAGGTGGATCCATTGCCAGATCATGTAAACGAACTATTTCATTTAAATGTGAAAGATCAGCTTCGCTCGTTTGATTATGATAATCATTAATTAAATGTTCTAGTCGATCAATATCACGTTTATGATCAAATGTATGTTCTTTGAAAGGTAGTAAAAGAAGTAATACACCATGAGATCGTGTAATTCGTATCCATTCTAATAATCCTTTAAAAGGATTAGCAATATGTTCTAGAACATGAGAAGCCAAAACAAAATCATAATACTCATCAGGTATGCCCTTTAAATCTACTGCATCTCGTATGTATTGTTTGCCTTTTGGTTGTTTGTTCCATATAAACGGTGAATCATCAGTTAGTCCAGATTCCCAAAGAGTATTAGCAGCAAAGTTTGTAACATCCACTTTTGTTGCAATATCATATACACCAAAAGTACCCCAAGTATGATGAGAGGGACCACCTATTTCAAAACCAGTTTTATTTTGAACCCAAAAATTAAGTGTAGCTGGAGCAGTATTATGTACCATTGAAGAATGGTAAAGAGTTTTACGAAGAGTACTTGCATCATATGATTTTAAACATGTTTGTGATAATGAATGAGGACACTCAAATGGCGATTGTAATGGCATTTTATTCAATTTGTCAAAGATTAAAAAGCCAACCATAAGGATTCCGCATAGTAGCAACAAAAATATATACTTCGAAGTGGTCATGACACCTTAAAAAAATAGACCGATTATTAAAATTGGTCATATCAAACTAAAATAAATTTGATATGAACTTGACTAAACATGGACAAGATGGTCTCGCTTATGTTTAAACTTGGCACTTGTTATGGTAATCGGTCTCATCTTTAAAACACAGCGCTCTTCAATTGAATTTTCCCTTTTTGTTTTTTCTTGCTTCAGTCTATCATAAATAACCCATAAAGTTCAGAGAACAAATTAATACGTCAGAAATAAAAATATTGCCATGTTTCTTTACTACAATGTAGAATGAGAGTAAATCGAGTTTTGATACCTCCTTTGTTTTTGTTAGTATGAAGATATATTAATTCGCCTATTGTCTAAGCATTTATTTAGTAGAATACTCATACGATGATTGAACTTGTATATCTCTTCATAAGTACAAAACAAAGAAGAGACAAAAACTTAATTTACTCTTATTATGTACTGTAGTCAAAAATTATGCTATCTTTTTTTTCTGATTTATTATATGTTTTCGAAATCTTGTGTGTTACTTATGAGTAATATATCAAATAATACAGCAAAAAAATCTGTATTTTCTCGCTATTTATCAATTATCGGGAAGAAAAAAGAGCAAGCTACAGTAGACTTAAGCAAGAAAAACAAAGAAGGAAAATTCAATTGAGGTGCACTGTAGATAAAAGTCGTAAAACGATAGACATTGAGGTAGTGATATTCCGCTTCGACTCTTTTATGATTTACCTATTTCTTTTTCCGTTTCAGCTTCTTAATTTCTTGATCATGCAGGAGAACATATCGGACAACAATAGTATACATCTATTGAAGAAAATCGTTAAAAATTGATAAAAATCTAGCAAGTGTTCATAAAATTTTATATTTTATAAGTCGATAAGTAAGATGTAAATTGCTCGTAAAGTAATTTTTACTTTATTGGATTAATACAAGAGAACTTGATAAGCTTTGCGTTATTGATATCCTCCGTTATACAGAATCTAACGTTATAAAAGAGAAAAAAATAGTGTTCTACATGAATTTGACGTTCTCTAACTCGCACAAAACAGTAGAGAAAATAGGTTACTAACATAGAGATTACCAGTGTCCAAGAACTATGAAATAAGAATTCTTAAACTGCTAGGTAACTATCACAGACCTTTAATGGTTCCTTAGAAAATCGAGAACTGATAATAAATTTTGTTACAGTTTCATTTTTTGTAGCAGTTAACATGAAGCATATGTTTGCAATAATGTTTATATTTGCACGTTTATATTTAATAATTTCTTCATTATTATGCAGGTAGCAGTGAAAGAATTTTTTAAAATTTCTATGAGTAAATGTGGGGGTGGCTGGTGAGTGTATGAGTATAGGTGTAGGTGTAAACAAGATCCACACTCATATCCATATCCGCATCAACACTTACGCACACCCTGTTTGCATGGTCTAAAAATATCTTTTCTAGTGCTTCTTCTTTTCACTTTATTAACTCAAGATTGCAAAAATGCAAAGATGCAAAGAAATTTTTTCTCGATGGTGTCTATTACTTGGAGCCACAGCTGTTATGTACTTTTTCTCAATGAAAATATTTCAGCACGCGATATATAGATAATTTCCGATGAGAAAGCCTAGTTGTTCAATTTTCAGTTCTTGAGGATAGCAACTCACGGTTGTCAATTTCTTGTTGTCTCTGTTTTGACGTTGTCAAGCTTACTTAAAGGCTGAATGAATGCTCGACTGGCAGGAAGATAAATTTTTCTGTTTATATAGCATTTTTTTCTTCATTACCCTCCTCCGACCCTATATGATGTTGCTGGTTTACGATGCAACGATCGTCGGGGTATCTTTAGAAAGTGTGCTCTTGTAGAAGAAGAATAGTTAACACAGAAATAAATTGGCAACCAATGAAGAATGAGCGAAAAAATACCCAGATTTTAGCCCAGTTCTTTGCAGATAAACTCGAAACATGTATGTTCAGTAACCACACAAATAACTATTACAGTTCTTGAGTGAAAATACTTCAAAGAGAAAAATTTGAATCATGAATCAAATTCGTTTGACTTTCATCGTCTATACTTCAAAGTATTTCTCTTTCCATCTCGTATTGCATTTGTCCACTACGAATTCATAGAAAGTTTGTTTTCTGTTTGTACAAAACGACCCAATCAAAAAATGAATAAGATTGCGAGTGTGAGTGTAAACAAGATCAATACCCTCCGCTTCGCCCTTGCGTGAGCGGTGCATGTCTCTGATCAATGCTAAGACTTTTGCACTGCATGTTAATTACACAAACAAAGAAAAAGATAAGAAAACTCCTGAAAACGCTAGAGAAAATATGACTGTCTTCGAGTGATAATCGTGTTTCCCAATTATCATCTAAAAACATTCAAAAAAAGTCCAGCGTGAAAGTGATCACCTTTTATACGAAGTAAGATTTTTCTCAGTTTATGCGTTACAGATTCTTAGACTTTTTGAAATCTACTTAATATAAGCGTTGCTGATGTTCCATCGAGAATCACGATTAATATCCTGAAGCACCCAGATTTTCTGTGTGTTCAAACTTCTTCTATTCTTTCTCTATTTTCCGATACCTTTTTCTCTGATGTTTTCCTATGAATTTCTTGTCAGAACAAACGAGTTCTAGATCTTGTTTCACAAAAAACAAGGAAACAGAAAACTTTAGGTCAGAGGTGGAAATAGCTGTCTATTTTTCTAACTACCTACCTGCCTATCGTATCATAGTTAAAAAAGAAAAGTGAAAAAACGATTTCCTGGTCCATTCGAAATATCAATATTTTACTTTTTCAAGTGTGAGTGTGTTATACCTGAATCGTTGTTCTTGGATATTTTTCTCCTTCCCTCTATGCTCATTTTCACCAACATTAGTAAAAAAAGAAAGTTTAGTCACGTATGAAGATAGTTAGGTGTATGAGAACAGCTTCCATGTTTATGACAGTAGAGAAGAAAAATAAATCTAGAACGGAATAGGATACAGAAAATGCAAACAGAATATGAGAGAACGTAAGATTGCACAAGAAGGTCATGTAAATCAGTGTTGACTATGATCAATAACTAAAGTGTACGTGATTTTACCTCACAATTTTCATTATTTACATAAATCTACAATGATAAAACTAATAAGACTAGAAGATAGACCAAATGATAGTTTGTTACTTTTTTAGAATGATATTAACTTGATTGTTTTGTGTTCAATTGGAAGGACATTACAATTTGTTAAGTTTTTTTATACTCTTCCACAATAATTTAAATGTTATATTTCTTCTTCTTATTATTATTATTATCTATTTATAAACATATATATTTACAACAATTTAATTTTCATACGTTTCGAAAGCATCAGCTTTCTTCTTCAGTGTGTTAAATTTAAAAACAGAACAAAACAGAACAATGATATGGCAAGCGCACGATGTTACAGTCGATGTCCCCAATAAGAACAGACTT